GTTCAGCAGAATCCAACGCACAGGTGATTTACACATAGGAGTAAGTCTACTTAATTCTACAGGTGATCCTCCTGTGACACAGTTCGTCGGGCTCCATTCAAGCAGCTGTTTTTATTTATTTCGGATTGAGCTAACTGACATTGCTGCATGCTACCCAGCCCTTTAAGAGAGGTGCACACAATGACATCCTTCTGATATTAACGTAGTGTCTCAAATTTGTAACGATGCCAATCTACTATATACAACAGATAAATAAAAGCACAGGTATACATTTACTTAATTGCCTTAAACAAGGACTCCACATTTTTGAGACCGTTTGTTCTTTAAAACAGAATAATCAGACATGTATTAATCAATCATATTATCTTAATTAATATGAGGAGAGAGATCACAGATACTTTTATAATCATTTTATTTGCTTAATGTGCATGGTACTTCTGCAAATTGAAAGGTAGAGACCCCCCCAAGCGCTTTGCCAAGCACTTGAAAGGCAGTAACAGTTCACAGAAGCCTCTGCTCCCAATCATTCACTTTTATGTTCTAAATACAAGGTTACAGTGATGTCCAATAGCAGCGCTATAAATATGAGCTGACACATTTGATTAAGTTTGGAAGAAAAGACAGACCACTGGCTTGTCTTCTTCCAGCTCTGCTGAATCACAAGGGCAAAAGACATTTTCCTCTCTCAGCTTATTTCCCCTCAGAAATTAAAAATTCAAAATTATTATTACAAGAATGTAAGCATTTCACCAGGAAATTCAGCAACCCAGAAAGATTAAGTACACAGAGGCACTAGGTTCTTCCACAACTCTATTGCAGCCAAAGAAAGAAAAATCCACATCTTGTAGGACCAAGCAAGAAGCAACTGCACTCTTAACTATACTTCCTCAGAATTGTAGTAACAAGTATAGAAAGTTAGCAGTTTTGCTGGTACGTATACTACAATCCACACGAGGTCAGTGGGTACTGCCATCCTTTCCATGAAAATCTTAGCTATGTAATTGAAATATGTTAGCACAACTACTGTTTATATTCCACTTTTGAATTTTTACTTTCCAGTAATTTTTGTTCTTATTCCACATCCGTTCTAATGAAATAAAATGCAGAATGTATTTCTTAATTTCAATGTTCAGGCTTTGTAGAAACACAAAAATTTCTTTTCAATCTACTGCTCAAGTAACATTTTCAATTCTTCCGGTATAAATTACTTTGGAAAAAAAAAATAAAAAAATCCCTTAACTTCAATTTCCCTCCCTCCCCCCAAAATGTTTTCTTCATCATAAAGTACTGTTTAAGGTATATAAATTCTTTTATTAGTAAATTCACCTCTTTGGACGTGTATCCTGGAACTAGCCTTGCCACACTGTCCCAGTTGATAGGCTGAGGAACGCCAACCAGTGAACACAGGATCATATCCAAAACCATTTGATTGTTGTCATACGGAAAGTTATTGTTTTCTGAAAAGCCACGACTCATCTTTGGCTACTTAAGCCTAGAAGAGAAAGTGTTATTAGCAAGTCTTACTACATGATTTGCTAAAGCTTGATCTACGTTAACTGCAGCACTCCATAAATTACTATGGGAAAAGTTTACTACAGCATTACAGTCAAGTACTAACACTTTATCTGACAAAAATTACATATTCATATCTGCATCCTCAAAACCCTGGGGGGAGAAGCAGATGTGCAAAACACACCAAAACCAACTCAACAGCAGCAGGCACTACCCACCATTCTTGAGTTGTCTGCTTCCAGGAGGGGTTCACACCGCTGAACCCTCCAATGCAAAAACAAACAAACAAAAAAAGGCCTCCCACAACCTCAGAATAAACAGCCTAAGCAACAGACAGACATTTTAAATTAAATTTACTTACGTTCAAATGCACTTGTGTGTTCCCCCAAACTTTCTATTGCTCAGCTCTGATCTCCTCTTGCTCCTGCTTATTTGTTTTGCACACCTGACTTCCATTATATAGGAGCCAACCCAGGACACTCAGCTAAGGGCAATCAATAAAACTTTGGAGCCAGGAGACATGACACCTGGATGTCTTCCAGCTCTCATCGTGAAGACCTGACTTTTGACTTGTCCTAAGGCACTCATAACTCCTGATTAGCTGGGACTATCAGGGCCAGAAAACCTTGTTCCTTCAGCTTCAAGTTGAACCCCAGAACAGAGCATATAAGGACAGCAGTGAATACCTTAAAAAAATGCAAGTCTCCTTATTTGAAAAAAGTCTTATATTTAGTTAGGGTGGTTTTTTTTCTTTTTCCAAATGAATTTTATGCATAGTACCAGGGAACACAGTAAAAGTTCAAAATACTGTTTTAGCATATGCTGAGGGAAAACTGCAGGCATTAATCAAGCTTTTCATATTCCAGTAATGCACAGCCAAAAAGCTTAGTAAGGACTCGTATTTGGAAAGCACTTCGGACCTTTTCTGAAGTACCTTAAACAGATCATATAAATAACAGAACTTAGAAGTCACATACAGAATTCTGACTTATAAAGCAAGGATTACAGAGAATTTCAGAGAAAATACACTTAGATGGTAGCAGATTTAACTGATCACTTGTTACTAAAACTATACTACATGTAGATGTTTCTTTTGCATCACCCTCTTTCTAAAAGAAAATGCACTTAAAATGTACAAAATATCACTGATTTTGTTCCTGAAACAAAAGCACTTTCTTTGTTTTATTGGTAGGAACAGAAATCACGATACCAGGTAACGGTAACCTTTCATCGTCTCAAAAGAGCTGCTGAATGAAACCATCAGAAAGAAAAAACCCAGAACCCACCAAGATAATTCTTAAGTTTCATATATTCATGAGCTTAAAAAAAATTTTTAAAAAAGCCACAAACAAATCACAAAGACAAGTCCAATAGAAGTCGTACCATTTTAGCCATTCTATCTAAATGACATCTACTGCAAAGCATGCCAAATAGGCAGTTTTAAAGGACAAAGGTCTTTCACAGACAAGATGAGCCCAAACTTTCCAATTAAGATACATGCCACCAGGAGGTAAAGGTAGATCAGTCCCTGCAGTCATCGAGTCCCTAGCCCTCACCTTGATAGTACTATCAAGTGGTGTCACTGTGGTAATTCTCTGGCGGAGACTTCTCACTGTCAGCGCCCAGACAGATGTCAGTATCAATTATATTTAAAACACTGAATATCTACCATATCTGCTGTTATGAAAAGAAATAACCAGGTCAGAACTGGTCAGCACCAGCAGCAAACCTGAGTGGTTATAAAATACGAAGCCGACTTCTTGTGCTACCTTGTACGTATGTAGCAGCTGGCTTAAAAATATGTTTGAATGAGGTAAGTACATGATGGAGTACTAGAAACCTCTGGTCTTGCACCATAAAATACCCTTAATGAAAGTAAAATTACTAGCAATGTCACTATTCCATAAATCACCATTTTAAGGACTAGGTCTACAGTATGATTATACTGGGTAATCAGAGAAAGAAAGAAAGAAAAGCCATTATTTTGCAATAGTTAGCGTCTACAGTTTAAAGAAAAAATTTTGAGTGCTTTGCTGGTAACAAGTTCACGTACACATCAGTACTGTGGACCATGAAGCAACCCGACCGTGAAGGCATGACAGGTACTCTAAAATGTAATGACATGTTCAGAGAGAATGAAGCCTTTGCCTCTCAAATATTTTTTATTTGCTTATTCTGTACATTACAATACAGTTTTATGTATGCTTATTACTGCAAAGATAAATGAAGGAACATACTTAATTACAAACATACAGAAGTCAAGTCTTTTTATTTCTATTCTGGAAAGAGTACAGGACTCCTCTTCGTGGCTTTATACACGATATTTAACACTTGCCTTTTTGTCCTTTAGAAAATCCTGTCAGAAGTATAGTTAAAGACACGCGCAAGATTCTGTCTCACGCAAGAATTGTGCCCTTCTTAAGAAGAGCAGCAACACAAAGCCTGTACTAAATCATATTGTTAAGGGAGAGAAGACAGCTCCTTCAGATTCTCTCCAGTTTGTTACTGCAAGTAAAGCTCAAGTTAAGCCTTTCCTCAGCTATGGAAACTGGAGGAAAAAAAGTTTCAGAATTATTTAATTCTGACCAACTAATTCGATATGAACAATACAGAAAGATATGTGACAAAAGGTATTTTTATTAATACTTAGAATCTAAATTAAGTGCTGTAAAGGATTCTCAACACTTCAATATTTCATAAAACTGATATGATTTAAATAAAGAGTTAACTCATTATGCAGGAAGTTGCTTTACGTTATGGAAATGGGCCACCTCATTTAAGACTGATTTTCATATTTAAAGCAAAGAATCAATCTAAAAATGAAGAATTACTATCGCCTTGCACGTGCATAACCTGCAGGAAGGTAAAGATGGTGGGATGGGTATGACGTTTCATGCAGAACCCTTAAATGCAACGAAGTGATAGTGCAGAATGAGGTGGGGGAGAGAAATAACTGCAAGTTTGATTGTAGTTTGCCCACGTACTTGTCAAAATAAAAATTAAAAAAAGGTATTTAAATAATAAAAACTGAACCCAGTTTTTGGGGCAAGGTCCCACAAGTGTAATCAGCCTCTTCACGCAATCCCGTCCTGATGGGACCCGCCCTTAGCCAGCCATCCCAACCCCG